TAACCACACTGATCAAACCAGAGCAGCTGTGCCTGACCCATCCCTGCAAGTGTCCAAGGCCAGGTTGGACAGGGCTTGGAGCAACCTGGGCTAGTGGAAGGTGTCCCTGCCCATGGCAGGGGGTGGAAAGAGATGAGTTTTAAGGTCCTTTCCAACCCAAACCATTCTATGAGATTTTACGATTCCACGATAAATCTTCCCAACCAGCTGACCCCAGTTCTGCTTTGAGAGTCAGGACTGAATTTGAAATACAAAGGATATTCTCTTCTGGCCTCACCCAAAGGGATTTTGGGGTTTTAAATGCAGATTGTCAAAACCGTCTTGCAGCAATTATGGTCTGTTGTATCAACAAGTCCTCGGGGACCATCCATCCTCAGGTGACTCAGGTGACATGGGATGGCCCCCAACACGTTAATGTCTCACCAGGCACCAGCAGGGTCTGCAGCCATGGAAGATGGGCTCGGGAAAGGTCACTGGACAAGTGCTGGGACCAGGCTGAGGAGATTCTTACATATTTAATACTAGCAGGTCACTGAGTTTGCACTGATCAGTTCATCCCACAGACACCCTTCTGTTCCTCAGAAATGTTTTCTCCCCCTAAAAATAACCCCAATTCACAGTGCCAGAAACAGTGCATTGCTAATCTGGAGAACTGGTTCCTGAGCTATTCCAGGTCCAGAACAGGTTATACAAGCAGACATATCACTAAATTAATATCATTCTGAAGGGAAAAACTACCACAGGAAGAAATCCTGAGGATGGGGTTACCCAAAGCACACCACTGCTGGCAGGTATTTTCCAACTGATGAGCTCAAAGCACCTTGCAAACACAGCTCAACTGAGGTTTCAAGACCAAGCAGGGAACTTTTATGGCTTTTTGACCCATCCAAGTCAAAAATGTCACCTCATGACCAAGAAGACCATTGGCTGCAGGCTGGGAAATGAAGCCCAAAGTACTGAACTAAGGCTTCAAATGGCTCATGTTTTAGTGGTTTCTGACCCCTCATCTCCACTGCCTCTTTCCCTGCATGGACACAGACTCCTGGCAGGTAGGATTTGCCCAGCTCACCCTTGGATGTTCTGGATAAACCAGTGGGAGCCACGGAGCCAGCACAGGGTGAGGGCCTGATGCATCCTTCAGGCAAGTCAAAACTGGAGAGTTTTGGGGAAAATAAAAGCTGAACAGGAGAGGAAGGAGAGAGAACAGTCTGCTGGTGAGAATTCCCATCACCTCCAGAAGGGATGACCACTTTAGACATCCTCTTGTGCAGTGAGTGTGTGGGACAGCTCTTCATCACCACTCACAAAATGAACTGCTTGACATTCCAGGCTGAACATCTACATAACAAACTACTGTGTACCCAGCTTAGAGCAGTTCCTGAAAACCTCTGCTAAACCTGGCTTCCCTTAGGAAAAGCCTAGAACATGGATCTGCAGGGAAAATGTGACTGAAAGCCACTATTTGTTTCCATTAACACAACAGCTCAAAGATGGGATTTCTTTTAAACACAAAAGACAAGGAGGAGCAAACTGATTAAAAATAGGTCAGCAACAGACTCAGGAACATCCCTGGGAGGACTCAAATGGAATGTAGCCCTGGAAGCCTGAACCACATAAGCCATGCAGGAATTGGGAGTGCTGGGCTCTTTGGTCTTACTTCCCTGGAAAGGAAAACCCATGGAAATGAAGGTGTTTGTGCAGGGCACAGCACGTCATGTATGAAATCACCCCGTGCTCACGTTGTGACGAGGGAAGGGAGTTGAGGGAGGAGGAGGAGGAAGGTTTTGGGGCTGGAAAAAGAGGGAGGCAGGGGAAGTTTAAAAAAAAAATAAAAATCTCTGCCTCAGCAAAAGTTTTCATTAAAATTTTAGACAAATGATCTCTGTGTCCTTCTCCCATGCTGCCTGGGGCTCCATGCTATTTCTATGCAAATAACAACCTCGTGGTTTATATCTTATTATTTCCACCGGAGCTGCGGCGACATGACCCGAGACGTGTGTGAGGTAGACAGCGACAGAGAGAGAGGGAGAGAAAAGAGAGGGAAGGGAGGGAGGGAGATGGAGTGGCTGCTCGCTGAAGTGTGAAAAAATATTGTCAGGAGTGAGCAGCAAGAACAAAAAAAAAAAAAAAAAAAAAAAAAAAAAAAAAACCAAAAAAAAAAATTGCAGGGATAACGTGTTTATTTCAGCCCCTCTCCCCATGTGAACCAGCATCTTTTAAAATTCATTGGGCATCAGGCGATCATGCACAATCCATCTGCTTTCACTTTATCATTTGCATTTCATGCCTCCTGGCTTTTGATGTGCTGATACTTTGATGCAGTCAGGAGACGCGCATTATCATTATTTCAATTTTCAGGGGGGTCAGCGGGCTCGGCACAGGCGCGTAACACGCTCACCGAGAGGAATGAAATGTCATTTCCACCTCTCCACCCCCTGCTGAAATGCAACGGGGAGACAAAAGGGGTTCGGCTCCGACACGGCCCCCCCGCGCGGGGCACGGTCCCCACCGGCACAGCACACCTGGCCCCAGGTCCCGCCCGCGCCCGTCGCTCCGCGGCGCGAACAAAGACAGCTCAATCAGGGCAGGGGGAAACCCTGCCCAGCTCCCTGCAGCTTCTTGTCACCCCTGACAGGCGGTGGGGCCGGAGAATCCTCAAACCTGCCCGCGATCAGGTGTCTCCCTGGGATGTCCCTCTGACACCGGTGCAGAACAGCCGGCACGTGAGTCCATCTCCAGAACCAAACAGCAGCCTCGGCTCAAAATGATGCTGACCTTGAGCTCATCATCTAAGTTAGAGGTCACTCTCTGGCTTTGGCAGCTGGACCTTTCCCTCTACACCTAAACCCTCAGGCTGGTTCAACATAATGACAATGAACAAGACCAGCAATGGCTCTGCTGGTGCAGTGTTCGTCACTGTCCCCCCTCTGCTCCCAGTGTACATTAGAAAGAACCCAGCACTTCAAAGGGAAAAGAAATTAAACAACTTCCCAGAAAGCCCTGTCTGCTCTCTGAGAGCCCAATTGTCTCCATTTTTGTGCTGCACATTCTCCTCTGGCAGAGAGGAGACATTTTGAAGATGTGTGTGCAGCCACAAGACTACAAGCAAGCTTTGTCCAGCATCCTCTGGGAAGACAGCATTTGAACATCAGCAATGGAAAAATTGTCCCAAATCTCTAATTGGGAAGAGCTAAAGGTGGCAGTTTCCACTTATTTATCTTTGTTCCAGCCATGATCTCTCCTCGGGAAGATCACAAGAACCAGCAGACCCATCACACACACAGGAGCGAGTGGGGATTCCCAGGCTCCCCCTGTCCAAGGTTAGGTAAACATTGTTGGGTCTTGCTGGGAAAGCTGGATAGGATGCAATAGGTTCCTCCTACACCTTTAGGAAGGTAGAGGTTCAGAGCTGACGTAAACAAATACATCTTTCCAACAGAGCAGGGAGGAGGGAAAAGGACACGAGGGATTAGTCAGGCCATTGAAATTCCTGGGATGGGATAAATCACCCCCAGAAAGCACCTCCTCCTGATTATGCCTGCTGATAGATGTCAGGTGCTTAATTTAGTCTATATCCTTAATTTTAAGTGCCTAAAATGTAGTGAGATTCATCTAGTCCTAGGAAAACAAGCATTGCCTCCATGGGTAGGGAGTGCAGTTAAACGTGGAAAGAGAAGGAGACCAAACAGCCTGGCCCTGCCATCTGGGAAACTCTGCAGGGCCCCAAGCCCCAGCAAGTGACAGCTGGAACCAGGCAACTTACTGCACTTCAGCAAGCACTAAACTGACTCAATTCCTTTTTAAATGCTGGATCTTCAAATGCCTCTTTTCCTCCCATTGATGCAGGTGTGTGTGATGTGTGTAAGAGATCTAACTGAGGGTAGTGCAGCCTAGAGTTGATAGGATCAATGCTTCATTTTCTGCAGAGCCCCCTTTATTCAGGGGAATAATTCAACGAGAGCCTATTTTCCTTTTATCTCCCATTGTCAGGCAGGCACTCCTGGAAACACAGCTTGCCATGGAGCACAACCACCCCAGGTGCTGAGAGTGCCTGAGAACAAAGCTGCTCGATGGGGAAGGGCACTCACACCACACAGCCTCAACTCCAGGGAAACAAAGCCCTCAGGGAGAGGGATGGGAGCAGAGTGGGCTGGGAGCCGTGTCTGCACCAGACAAGGGGCTGGAGGCTGTGGGATTAATGGGCTTGGGGCAGCAAGGGAGAAAATCCACCTCTGGAGTGGAAAAAAAAAGAGCCACTTTAGCAGTGAACCTGTTAAGTTTTCTTTATAACAGTCCCAGTTATTCCTCCTGCCCCCACGGCCGAGATTTCCAGCAGGAAAATCACCATGCACACACTGCTCAGGCTTCAGTGCTCCCCAGAATTAGCACAGTGCTGTGGATGGCTGGAAGTTCAGGTGATTCTGGCCCACATATTTGGAAACATGGACTTCCAGACACTGGGAACAGCCCTGTTGCCTCTCTCACAGCACTCCCTGGGAAAGAGATGCTGCTGCCCAGGCTCTGGGCTCCTCCACTCCTGTCATTTAACCTGTGCATACCTCTGTGAAAAGCTGCTTCTCCTTCTTCCCCTGGCTCCTGCTCAAGCCCTTAAACGTGCAGTTCTGCCCAGGTCCCTGCCAATCTCCAGCCAGGATGCCTGGAATAGTGCCTCTGGCTGGCAATACCATGTTCCTGTCACAGGAAACGGGTACATGGAAGGAGGATTTGCTTTGCAGAGAGCAAAGAGCAAAAGGAAAGACTGCAAAGGCATGGAAGTTTCTCAGCCCTGAGCCAGTTCTCCTCGATCAGGAGGAGGCTGAGAAGGGAGAAGCAAAGGGGATCAAGGCAATCCAGGGTGGTGGCAGCTCCTCGAGGCTCCAGCAGAACTCACTGAAACCCAGAGTTATTGCCCAGAGAAGCCCCATCCCTGGAAGTGCCCAAAGCCAGGCTGGAAAGGACTTGAAGCGACTTGGTCTGAGGACTGAAATGCAAAGACTCACTTTGTTGAGGGCTCCACAGCCAGTCAGGATGATGTGAGAGTTCTCCACCTGGATGGTCCTCTGGCCCAGCCGGACAATGTAGGCCCCAATCCCGATTGCCCGACACGTAACCTTAAAAAAAAACAAAAAAAAGGGAAAATTGCAATGCCATTGATTTCTGTCTTTCCACACAGCCCCAACTTATCGACTCCAACATCGAGATAAAACCAGGTGGGTTTGTGACAAGGCCATAAAATCTCCTCTCACTGCAAAACTCCAGAATCTGTTGTGTTCTAACACGCAGGAGCTGAACATACGTGTATTTTATTTTTAAAAAAAAAGAGAAGCAGCAACTTTCAGACCAAGCAAACATAAAGCCAAATGACTAAAGTGTTTTAAATTGAGTCTGAAAGGGACTCAGCCCTGTACTAGTGCCAGGAGCATTGCTCAAAGCCCCCAGGAGCCCATTTCCTTCGACCAGAAGGCCGATCCCAGGATCTCTGGGATATCATTGCAGGATTTTTAGCTGAAGCAGACAATACAATTTGAAGAAGAGAAAGCAGCGGGGGATTACCAGGCTGATGGTGATAACACTTTCATAGGCTAAAGATGATTCTCCAGCAATCATGCCAGATCCTCTGAGGTTCTCTACTCCAAGACCGTCGTCCTTGCCGATAATATCCGTTATCTTGTACCTGAGGGAGACACAGACACAGCCTTTGAGTCACAAGGTCCAGTGATTTGCTGAATCAGTTTGCTACGAAGAAAATGAGAACTGACTAAATATCATTAAGGTTCCAAGGAGGAACGTGCATAAAACCTGGCCAGGACCCGTGCATGGCTCATCCCGAGCACCACGGAACATCCTGCAGGAGCAGCAGCACTGCCAGAGGGAATGCCAAGGGAGAGGAATGTCTGGGAAAAGTGTTCTGAAATTCCCACAGGGCATGAGGAACAGGCTGATTATAGGAAAAAGGCAAGAGAGGAAGAGAATGCAGCCAAAGGCAAAAAAGAAGAGAACAAGAGATTACAAGAGGCTTTTACCTTTTAGGTTTTCTTTACTTCCTTCTTCCAAGCCTCAGCCACGACTTGGGGTCAGTGGGGGTCAACACGGCCCTGCCCCAAACTAGGCACCATGGAACAACCCCTAACTCACCTTCCATGCCCTGACCCCACACAGCTCTGGCTTTCCACAGCCCTGCACCCTAAAGAACGTCCCAGCTGAGGACAAGGACGTGCCATGCATGACCCAAGGATGAACAGGAAGCTTTTCATTCCTACCTGGACTCTCCATTTTCCTCCACGTGCTCACAGTGAACAGAGTTCAGCGCGCTGACCTTCTTGTAGTCTTGAGGAGTCAGGTACAAGTATTTGTATCCCTACAGGGAAAGACAGTTCATTCATCTCACTCTCACCTCTAGTCCCTTCCTGATCCCAAATAACCCCTTCCAAAAGCAAACTTTCATGGGAGCAGAATTTAATTCCAGAGAGTGATAAGAACACCCTCTCTTAACACTGGAGCTGCAGCTGAGGCCAGGAAAAGCTGGGAATGTTGCAGCATTTAGCCCTAACTCCTTCTGGATGCCCATCATCTGCTGGGAGATCATAAAATCATATCATAAAATGGCTTGGGTTGGAAGGGTCCTGAAAGCCCATCTCACTCCATCCTTCCACCAGACCAGGTTGGTCAAGGCCCCGTCCAGCCTGGCCTTGGACACTTCCAGTGTTCCAGATCCAGCAACAAGGAGAACTTTGGACCTGACAGTCTGGAAAATGTTACCCTCACTTCTATCAAAAGAGGTGGTGTAAAAATAAGACTCTTGTGGGCTGTTGCAGAGTTTCCCCCGAATTCCTGTGCCTCCTTACCTTGTATGGGTTATCTGGGTCTTCCCAAGCCACGTGGAACATGTGCCGGATCTCCTCAGCCAAACCAATCCTGGCTCCACTGTTGGCAGCCACGTAGATCCTGGGGATGCCCTGTGCCCGGGCGAGCTCTGAGGCCCTGAGGAACAGCACATCCTCCTGAGGCCCAAAAGAGCCTATTTTGTAGGTGATGTCATTGCCAACGACAATGATATCCCGGCCCTCTGGATACTCCGGGGTCTTCAGAGTCATCTTCCAGGCCACCATCCCAACCTGCAATCAAAGAGCAGAGAACAGCAAAACATAAATGTGCATCTCTGAGATGTGGTGCAGGGGAACCACACAGGGACTGTTTCTCTTGGACCTTTACTCCCTTGGGCTTGGCACGTTTTCCTTGGGAACTGTGGTAACAGTAGCTCTGGCACACTGCCAGTGCAGAGCACAGCTGGAAGGACTGGATCCTCCACTTTCCTTGGAGCACATCCCCCACTGCTCTCACCCCAGCCAGGACACTCACACTGTCCCTCCCTCTCCCCACTCAGGGATTTATCCCAGGTCCAACACACATTCTGCCAGCGTCCCTCTTGCAGGGAGCTGTGTGCATTCCCTGTGCCACAATCCATGTGCCTCCTCACAGGGTGAAGAGGGATGTGCTGCTGCACAGGATTCCTGACCACCTGCTTAGGCTTCCCAGGTATCACCCCAGAACCTTGTCACCCTGCCCTCAGTTTAAAAATCTTTTTATTTCATTATTATCTCAATTTTTATCCCTTGCCCTTCCTTTCATTTCTTCGTCTCTCCCCTGTTTCCTTCCCAAATTTGTGCAGCAGTTTCTTTCCAGACCTGCCCGGGGCAAGTAATGTTTTTTGCCGCATATTTTTTCTTTTCAAAGATCACGGGATGATCTCTCCTGGCCCATCTCCTGGAGATCAGCAGCATCTGTCCCCTGCATCCCCCATCCCTCAGCCGCCGCTCCGGGAGCCGGCCGGCCTGGAATGCCATTAACAGATGGAAATAGCAGCGTCCCTTGAAAGCCACATGCATCACCCAGTCCCCGCTTGCCCAAGGATCATAAGCTCTGAGTACACATCCCTCAAGCCGATTGCACATCCTCTGCAATCAAGGAGGGCTGAAACTCTCATTGCGGAGCCGCGGAATTCTGAGCGTGATGAACTAAAGCGGGAGGGGGAGAGGGGAGAAGCAGCAGACAGATCTGTGCCATTTAATCCAAATCAAAATGGCACAATACACAGTCGAGATCCAATCAGCATCTGCAATAAGATATGCCATAATAGGCTCATTAAAAAAATAAAGAGGCAGAGGAATTAATCAAAGGGTCATTGGAAGTAAAGCAGGCAGCAATCCAAAATATTACAGCCGGCTGCCGGCAGATCCTTCCCTTCCACCTCCCCTTCCCAGAGCTGAGAGGGCAACTTAACAGAGTGAGGGGGTCTCAGTTCACCTTCTCCTTGGTCTTGGTTTCCTCCACTGCTACTCTGATACATCAGAATGGATTCATTTGTTTGCCTCTAAATATTTGCAGAATATTTACAGTTTCACCTTAGCATCCAACTGCAGGGTTTGGAACAGAGAGATACTGCAGCAGCTTCAAAGACAGGAGCATAAATCCCTAATTTTTTGCTAAAATACCAGTATTGTTGCCAAATTAAAGGGAAAAGTTATAATGCTGTAAAACAAGTGGATGCAAATGTTGGTCTGGCGCAGAGACCAAGGGACAACCAGTCCAGAGGCTGGGAGAGGAGCCTAACTGATCCCACACATGGCCAGAGGGGTTCCTTGGACTCTGCTCTTGGATTTTCACAGCAGACAACAGAAGAATTAAGGTGAAAAATGGAGAAGAAAACTATATTTTGTCCTTCTGACCTGACTGTGCAGGAAAAAGAGATGCCAAGGGCTGGATGTTGTCTGTGTTCTCACTCTCACCTGTGGGCAAGCTTGTGACTAGAAACTGCAGGTTAAAAAATTCTGCAAACCCAAAGTTAAAGGCTCCAAGATTAGCACCAAAAAAATCAGGGATGCAGGGATGCCCATCTCTACCCCAGCACCTACTGCAGGTCAGCTCTTTACCATAATTTAAAGGGAGTTTTTTTGCATAACTAAAATCCTTTAGTGGGCTCTCACCAAATCTTTCTGATACCACTTCAAAAACCAGCTTTAGTCACTGATAGAAACCCACACAGAAATGAGGAAATAGTCCCTTTAAAATACACTGTAAACTTATGCCAAAATAGCACAGAATTAACAGTAACTGAGAGGTTTTTGCCTGAGTGGTTGTTCCCTTACCGTCACACTGATCCCATCAGCCAGGACCATCCCAGGAGGCTCCAGCACCACCAGGAACAGAGCAACAGGAGAAATACTCAGGCTTTGGGTTTGCTAAATACTTGTCACCACAGTAAACTGGGTCATAGGAACACATAAAGAACTGCCAGAAATCCACACAACAACCACAACAAACTGGCAGCCAAGTCCTGCTCCCACCTGAGGCAGGTGAGTGACTCACTCCAGGCCTGTGGGGCCACTGATGGAGTTCTGAGTACCCAGGGCTGGTCTCACAGTCTGTCTCACCCACCAAGAGATCTTCCTCACTTCCATCAGCTTGATGATTTTTGACAGCACAGAAAACAGGCACGTTAAAAGCATTTCTTATTTAGAAAATTCAGATTGTAACAGAAGTCTTGGAATATTTCCCTAACCTGAGATCATGTGTCCTCTGCATCAATAAAATCCCTTTTGCCAATGCTCACCAATAAAACAGCTAAAAATATCCAGACAGGGCACAAACTCTTGAAAATAGTTTATATCTGATAAACACGGAGCAACCACATGCAGTTAAAGAAAATTAAAATCAAAAGTGCACCACTATTAACTCGTGTGTCTTGTTGCCTCCCCAACTCATTGTGTGTTTTGTGCCATTTATCCAGTAATAAAAACCACAGGGATTTGCACAACTAAGGATTTTATTTTTTTTTTTGCAACGAACAACCCAGATTCGGTTGAAATTTATGGGCAGCGGAGGATGGCTTTTTATTTCAGAAAAAAAAAAAAGGAACAATGAGATTTTTAAGTTAACGGCAGCACGCCAAAAACTGGAGAGTTCCCACGTTAATTAGCCAGGTTGAGCTAATCACCTAAGAGCACTGGCAGCAATAGTGGGTGATGGTGAGTGGCCCTGGCTTTGGAACAGGCTCTTTTTAAGAGGTGGCACAGTTTGGAAGTGCTGCTCCTGCCACAGCTCCATTCCCAGCACACCCAAGAGCGAAGAAGAGGGGGAGGGAAAAAAAAAAATAAAATAAAAGCAGGAACCGTCTTATTTAACTGTTTTTATGTTGGCAAAATGATTTGTGCCCCGGTATTTCCATAAGAAGTGGGACCATTATTCTCCTGTAGGAACACATTTGGTTTGAAAAGTATCAGTGGGCAGCACGTGGAAATCAAAGGGGATGAATTATTCACCAGCCCCGATCAGGAGCGATCATTATTTCTGATGCTCCGAACTGTGATTAGGATTCAGTGCTCAGATGTCATTTGCTCCCTCAACGGCCCCGGCCCCATGGAATTGCACACGCACAGATTGCACCCAAGTTCCAGGTGTATAATTTCACACACCCACACCTTCTCCCACCAGATCCTGGCCTTTGATGTGACCGTTAAGAGACGGCAAAAGCGGCGCGGGAACGAACGGCGGCTTTTCCCGGCGCTCGTAAACGCCGCTCGTTTGACACACAGTGTCAACACTAATCATGGCCTAAAATTAACACCAAAATTGACTTCAACATTAATTGCGCTATCGATGGGAGCAGTAATACACACACTGATGCAGTTCCAAATTGACTGCCGGTGGCAGCCGGAGCTGTTGACAACAGGCACCGAAGGGAATGGAGAAGGAGGCGATCCCAGGCTCCCTCCTGGAGGCACAGCAGGCTCTGGGCAGAGGGAAGGCAACGCCAACAGTGGCTGGGAGAGGGAGGTTTGCAGGCTCTTTCTGCAAGGATCTGTAATTCCTGGAGAAGCAGAGCCGACAGAACCACAGAATCACAGAATATCCTGAGCTGGGAGGGACCCACAGGGATCATCCAGTCCAGCTCCTGGCCCTGCCCAGACACCCCAACAATCCCACTCTGTCCCTCAGAGCATTGTCCAAACAATCCTTGAGCTCTGTCAGCCTTGGTGCTGTGCCCACTGCCCTGGGGAGCCTGTTCAGGCTCACCCTCTGGGGGAAGAACCTTTCCCTGAGATCCAACCTAACACAGCTCCAGTCCTTCCCTCGGGTCCTATCACTGGTCTCCAGAGAGATCAGCAAAGGTTTATTCTACTTCTCTCACACCAGGGTGGTGTTGAGCCTGGGGACTTTACACCAGGCTTCAGTTTTTTTATTTACATCCAAATTTGGAAACCTGATTGTGGATCTTGACATTTTTCAGCAGGACAACAGAACTTTGGGAGCCCTGTTGATAATTTTGTCTTGTCCTGTTGTGTTTGTATTACACAAAAGTTTTATATGTTAAAAATACATATAAAACATGAATACATTTGTGTGTTGGAATTATCATACGAAGTCATAGCAGGAAAGGAAATGCAGCAGTGGTGGTGGTTTAGCACATGTACACTGGAGATGCTGAAGCTCAATACTGACACAAGCCCATTTTTCCCTCCTGCACACACACATTCCAACACTGCTAAATCAGGGAACACAGGCTTTATCTCCCCTTCACAACCTCTGTCTGCTCAGGAGCTAAACTAGGGTTCCTTGGCTCACCCTGGATGCTGAATCACTTGGCTGAACAGCCATGGACAAAGCGTATCTTAAAAAGGAAACAAAGGCATTCCCGGGAATTTTACTCGATGTAGATACAGCAATTTCGGTATTTCATCATTTGAATCCATTGCTGGGAACTTCAGATCCAAAAGAGACTCCCTGCACCTAAACTATGACCAAAAGCTTTCAAATTTTTATCTGGAGCACGAACCACCCCCCAGGAAAAGGGCAGGATGCACGTGGTTTGCCAGAGCTCGTCCAACTCCACACCTTGACAACGGTGGAGTGCCAAAACCCAGGATTCCTTCATCCTCTTCTTGGCTCTGGACAAGGTGTCCCTCAGCGATGCAAGCGTGGTGGTGGCAGCAGAGCCAAGCACGCTGGCACAGAGCTGAGCCCTGGGAGGGAACGGCTCCAGCACGAGACGGGAAAGGTGCCACGGAATCACGGGATCAGTGAGGCTGGAAAAGACCTCCAAGATCACCGAGTCCAA